ACTGACCACTCCCTCAGTAACTCTACAGTCTCACTCACTGACCACTCTCTCAGTAAGTCTACAGTCTCACTCACTGACCACTCCCTCATTTACTCTCCAGTCTCACTCACTGACCACTTAATCATTTTGTACCCTGTGCAATGGGCAGGATATTGCTGATGTTTAATATAAGAATCTGTTTCCTACCTTTGCAGCTGTCATTGGTGCAATGCAGCGTTCCCTCTCTGCAGATGCTGTGGACAGATGTACATTTTAGTTCTCTCTGAGTTGATATCCAACAATGATCTACCAGTTAGCAATCTCCTCGCATCTTATTCCACTGCCTCATAAATATTCAAACTGGGTGATTCATAATCTTTCAGTCTTGAAATGATTTAAGATCGGAAATGTCACTGGATTCTTGAATCTGTAACACTCACCAGGTTTCACAGCCAATCAGAATGCTGTCACCCCGTCGTACCCTCATGGCCAATGGGGTCTTCCTGGTGTCTGACTTGTGAATGTGAACACAGTCACACTCAGAGTGAGCGATGCATTTATTGTCCTGCTCCAACAAACCCTGGCAGGATACAAAAAAAAGACAGTGAGTGATCGATGTAAGGACGTAAAAGAGGACAGGATTTGACTGAGAAGCTGCTGCAATGCAGTACCATCTGGTGTTTACAGAGAACAGACTGCTAAAGCATCGGAAATTTTCCAATAGTATCAGATTTTAGCAATAATGCGTCGAGCTGTCCATTTACTTCTAAGATGTAACGGAGTATGGATCAATGATAGCAAGTTAACATCACTACCTAGGTACATGTTTCATGTTGCCTTGGGGAGGAGAAACTATTTTTGAGATCAGGTTACAGGCTTCGCTATAAAAACAAATAATGAGCAGCTGTTACAGTGTAATCCATAGAAACAGAGACTGCCTGCCACTGCAGTACAGCCAAATGTGTGAGGGAGATGGGGTTTGGTCAAGAGATGAATCCTCTAGCCACCTACAGTTTCCAGGAACTGGCAGTGGTGAAGATACATCCATGACAGGACTTACTGTGATGCTGGATTTGAGAAACTATGTTCCTCTCAACTTAAAATAGCAGTCGTCATTTGCTTCAAACCCTAGAATGGGACTCCCACAGCTTTCTTACTCAGAGGGAAAAGTCATCAAAACTGACACTTTGATTCAACAAGATTGAAATCTCTATCGACTATTCATCATTCTGCTGCTGCTAGTTTCCAGATTATTGTGTTTTCTCCGTGAGTGTGGGAGTGAGTGTGGGAGTCATAGAGTCAGAGATATGCAGCACAGAAACAGACCCTTCAATCCAACTCATCCATACCGACCAGATATCCTAAATTAATCTAGTCTCATTAGCCAGCATGTGGCCCATATCCCTTGAAGCCCTTCCTATTCATAAACCCATCTAGATGACTTTTAAATGATGTAATTGTACCAGCCTCCACCACTTCCTCTGGCAGCTCATTCCATACCTGCATCAGCCTCTGCATGAAAAAGTTGCCTCTTAAGTGCCTTTTAAATCTTTCCCCTCTTACCTTAAACCTATGACCTCTAGTTTTGGACTCCCCTGCCCTGGGGAAAAGACCTTGACTGTTCACCCTATCTACGCCCCTCATGATTTTATAAACCTCTATAAGGTCATACCTCGGCCTCTGGTGCGCCAGGAAAAACACCCCCAGCGTATTCAGCCTCTCCCTATAGCTCAAATCCTCCAACCCTCGCAACATCCTTGTAAATCTTTTCTGAACAACATCTTTCCTATAGCAGGGAGAACAGAATTGCATGCAGTATTCTAATAGTGACCTAACCAATGTCCTGTACAGCCACAGCATTACCTCCTATGCACTGATCAATAAAGCCAAGCAGACTAAACTATCTTCACTATCCTGACTACCTGGGACTCCACTTTCAAGGAATTATGAACCTACATTCTACGATCTCTTTGTTCAGCAACATTCGCCAGGACCTTACCATTAGGTGTATAAGTCCTGCCCTGATTTGCCTTTCTGAAATGTAGCACCTCACATTTATCTAAATTCAACTCCATCTGCCAAACAGAGAGACAGAGAGAAAGAGAGAGAGAGAGAGAGTGCGAGACTGAGGAGGAGAAGTGATTGGATTGGAAGAGTCAGCATTTCAGAAAAGGGTGTAGGTTGGGGGAGTGAGGTTGTTTGCTTAGGGCAAGGATTCTTTGCAAATAGTGACTAGGTTTGAGTGTTTGAAATGAAGAAATTGACTCTACTATACACATTGTTCTGAGCCTACCTCAGGGCAGAAGCACCCAGCCACGCAATCCTGTCCCTTGACCTGACATTCTTGGCTGTGTTTGAGGTCGGAGCAGTGACCAGCACATGCTGGTCCACAGGCTTTATATTCAAATGGACTTTCACAGCTGGCATCTGAGAAAACACAAGAAGGTCAGTGTCAACGAGACAGAACATGACTGTCAGATCAGAAAGGCCATGCACTGGGTAAGGAAATGCCCAAAATCTTAATTTGTGTAAACCTAGTTTTGTCTAATTTAGATTATAATTGGATGTTGGTATTAAAGTGAAATCTGCAGGATAAAATTCTGTAGTTATGAACTTTCAGCTGGGTTACCTTCAATGGGTGCTTTGTAAGAGCAGCCTAATTAGGAACCAGCTGAAAGTGGGTCCTGATTAACAGCTGCAGCTAGGCCCCTTGTATTAGGAGCATATAAAATTAGCTAACTCAGTGTGATTTATCACGTGATGTATGACTTACAATAGAGTACTGGGGTTGAGCATCTCAAGGAGTTAAACGATATGATTAGGAGTTTAAGGCTATAAGTGAGGCAGTTTTATGGACCCAAGAGAATGATGATGTTCAAAATATCTTGGCCCCTGGAAGAGTCCAACGATTATAAAGTTCTTACTACGATCTTTGTTGTCGGTTGGGAAAACATAGCAAAGATAAAGCAAAAGGGTACAATGACATTGCAGTACAACTATTTTGAACATGATACCCAGAGAGTGACAGACTGTCACAGAATGTGAAAGCCTAAAATACCAGCAACTGGTCTCACTGTGTAATGCCTAAGTGTGTGCTAGAAACTACATACACAAGAGAGGCAATGGCCTGGTGATATTTTCACTGGACTTTAATTCAGAGACCAAGGTCATGTTTTGGGGACACAGGCTTGAATCCCGCCATGGCAGATGGTAGAATTTGAATTCAATAAATATCTGGAATTAAGAGTCTAATGATGAACATGAATGCCGATTGTTGGGGAAAACCCATCTGGTTCACTAACGTCCTTTAGGGAAGGAAACTGCCATCCTTACCTGGTCTGGCCTACGTGTGATTCCAGACCCACAGCAATGTGGTTGACTCTTAACTGCCCTCTGGGCAATTAGGGATGGGCAATAAATGATGGCCTAGGGAATGATGCTACATACTATGAATGAATAAAAATAAAAATCAAGCTCCTGTTTCATGGAGGCAAAACAAATTTGCAAAAACACTGCAACGTTTTCAAAAAAGGGTCATGGAAACAGCCAAGCTCTGCTGCATCCCCATGGTAACACCCTGACCAATCAGAATCTACCTGCCCGTCTGAGAATAAAGATTGACAGTTCACTGTTCTTGCTGCATCTCTGTGTCAATGATAGCCCAACCAATCAGAAGCCTCTGCTCACTCTGTAAACAATAATGTCTCTTTTTCACAACTCTGTGTCTTGTGTCCTAGTTCTGATCAGTGCAAGACAAAAAGACTTCAACTTCCACTTTCCTTTTAGCAATGTTTAAGATTAGTCATTCATTACACAAAGCCAAAACAAACCTTAAGTTTTTCAGGTGTAGAATAATTAAAATGATCAAAGTTGTTAATAATTTTTCTAACACCATCCATTGCAGAAATTCAACGTCAGAGAAATTATCCTCCACGTAATATGAACACACAAAATAGGAGCAGAAGTAGGCTAGTCAGCCCCTTGAGTCTGCTCTGTCATTCAATGAGATCATGGCTAGGTTATTTATGTTTCAAACTGTTGATAACTGGTTCCGAAGAAGAGTCACAATAGACTTAAAATCTTAAAGTCAGAAGTCATACAACACCAGGTTATAGCCCAACTGGCTTATTTTAAATCACAACTCTCAGAGCGCTGCACCTTTGTCAGGTGAAGTGCTTCATACAATCATAGAATCCCTACAGTGTGGAAACAGGCCCTTCAGTCCAACAAGTCCACACCGACCATCAGAGCACCCACCCAAACCCATCCCCTATAACCCACCTAATGTACAAATCCCTGAAGACTACAGGAAATTTAGTATGACCAATCCACCCAGCCTGTACATCTTTGGACTGTGGGAGGAAACCGGAGTACCCGGAGGAAACCCACGCAGACACAGGGAGAATGTGCAAACTCCACGCAGAAAGTCGCCCGAGGGTGGAATTGAACCCGGGTCCCTGGCACTGTGAGGCAGAGTGCTAACTACTGTGCCACCGTGCTTGAAGAAGGAGCAGCACTCTGAAAGTTTGTGATTTAAAATAAACCTGTTGGACTATAACCCACTGTGTGATTTCTGACTTTGTTCACCCCAGCCCAACACCGGCACCTCCACATCATCGAAATGTTAACTGTGTTTCTCTCCCCACAGGAGCTTTTAGACCTGCTGAGTTTCTCCAGCACTTCCTGTGTTTACTTCAGATTTCCAGAATCCGCATGTTTTGTGTTTACCCCCCAATTATGCCTGATTAACAAGGATCGATCCACCATGGTACTAAAGCTATTTAATGACCCTGCCTCCTCCACCATGTTCTGGGCAAAGAGTTGCAAACTAAGACAATCCTTAGAGAAAAGAATTTCCCCTCATCTTTGCCCTGGAAATACGACGTTTAATTTTATAACAGTGCCACATTTGAGACCCAGTGGCATAACAGGTGTATCTACAGAGCAAGTCTTACCCTGAGACAGGCTGTTAATTGGTTTTTCAGTTAAGACCAATTTTGTGGGCCAGGAATCATCAGTATGATGTAATGACTGAGTACTTTTACTTTTCTATTTTAGATTTTGGACTGAACTAGGATAAGAAATGTTTTAAAATCAAGGATTTCTGCATGTTTTTTTTTAAAGCATTCAAACCTGACATCCACTCTTGATAAGCACTGTTTACACAGCTGCTTCATGGGACCTGGTGCAGACAAACCAGAACTCAGTATGTGTGCTAGGTCAGAAATCACACGACACCAGGTTATAGTCCAACAGGTTTATCTGAAAACACAAGCTTTCGGAGCTTCGCTCTTTCTTCAGATGAATGGAAAAGCCCTGGGGAAAATTGATACACAGAGAGATCTGGGTGTTCACGTCCATTGTACCCTGAAGGTGGCAATGCAAGTCGATAGAGTGGTCAAGAAGGCATACGGCATGCTTTTATTCAATGGATGGGGCATTGAGTACAAGAGTTGGCAGGTCATGTTACAGTTATATAGGACTTTGGTTCGACCACTTCTGGAATACTGCGTACAGTTCTGGTCGCCATGTTGTCAAATGGATGTGGATGCTTTGGAGACAGTGCAGAGGAGGTTCACCAGGATGTTGCCTGGTATGGAGGGCGCTAGCTATGAAGATAGGTTGAGTAGATTAGGATTATTTACATTAGAAAGACAGAGGTTGAGGGGGAACCTGATTGAGGTCTACAAAATCATGAGCGGTATAGACTGGGTGGATAGCAAGAAGCTTTTTCCCCAGAGTGGGGGACTCAATTACTAGGGGTCACGATTTCAAGGTGAGAGGGGAAAAGTTTAAGGGAGATATGCGTGGAAAGTTCTTTACGCAGAGGTTGGTGGGTGCCTGGGATGCGGAGGTGGTAGAGGCGGGCATGATAGCGCCATTTAAGATGTATCTAGACAGATACATGAATGGGCAGGGAGCAGAGGGATACAGATCCTTGAAAAATAGGTGACAGGTTTAGATAGAGGATCTGGATTGGCGCAGGCTTGGAGGGTCAAAGGGCCTGTCCCTGTGCTGTAACTTTCTTTGTTCTTTGCTCTTTGTCAGTGAGAGAGGTGACATCAGACACGGAATTTATATGTAAAAGATCAAAGGGTGACCCCACAAACCTAAGATGTTGTTAAATCTTTAATCAGCTGGAAGGTTTTAATTGATTAATATGTATATGTCCATCCCTAAATTCCTTTCAAGTCACTGTCCTGAGAGAACTAAAGGTTTTATCAGTGTAAAGAAGAGGTGACATTTTGGGTCAGACAATGCATGTTAGGTGTTAGACCTTGTTTAGAATCTGTTTGAGTTTTGGTTTGCAGTCAGACTGGTTTTATTTCTAAAGTAGGAATTTAGAAAATGCCACATTGACTGACTATAAATTGTGTGCCTTTTGAACAAAATTGAATGTATCTGCAAATACAAATTCACCCCATAGATTCACATGTGGGGTGTGGGGTGGTGTGTGGTGTGTGTGGTGTGTGTGGTGTGTGTGGTGTGTGTGGTGTGTGTGG